CCCCAAAACCCCAAAACCCCAAAACCCCAAAACCCCTTTAAATAGCCTAAATGATGAAACAATTCTTTGTAATTATTTTTGGTAGAGATTAAATGCTGAAGACTTCATTTGACAGGGCCTTTTTGGAGAAGTACTTTACATCTTCGTCTGAATCATTCTCTCACAGAGAGGTAAGAGCACTCTTACCAATGAAGATATTCTCTCTGCTGAGTAGGCCACTCAGTTCGTCAAGAGTTTTAGAGATGTTGAACTTTATGTTTGGTACTGAGTCGTCTTTGAGACCAATAATTACTGGGATTATGTCCTTGTTGAGAATGTCTGGATCGATATGATCGTGGATTATTCTGACCAAGAAAATGGATTGAATCCTGATTGAGCATTTTTCTGATCTGGAGAATTCTCTGACTTTTTCTTTTGCAGTTCTCTCAAACCAGTCTTCTCCAAGAGTGATCTTAAGGTCAACTAGGTTCTTCATTGATTGCTCACGAATTTGAAATACATTATCAGATAAGAAATCTAATGAAACTTTTTCCATCTTTTCAATATACAGTTCTTTACCAAAAATCTTTGCTAATTTTGGAAAGAATTGAGCTATTCCATATCTAACTCTCCATTGCTTATCAGTTGTCAGCTCTAGTAATGCTGGAATTATAAGAGCATCTATATTTTCTTGCCCAATTACTTGAGTAACAGTCTCAATATTTTCAAGAACTCATACTCTCACTTCAGTAGTAGCATCCTTCATCAACTGGCACATTCCAGGTAAAGCTTTAGATACATAAAGTTCTGTATCTACATGGCTCGCAATTTTTCATATTCATTCAGCAAGCGACTCCCTAACATGTTGGCTTGTATCTGTTGTTAGAGCAATGATTTTATCCAATATCAAATCAGGCTTAACAAATTCCATTATCTCAATAACCTTTAGCAGAATTTCAGATTTTACTTCTGGTTCCGTATCACTAATCAAGGCTTCTACCATAGGTTTAATGTGCTTATCTGCAAGTTCCTTCCCAATTATATGAGTAAGCTCATCTAATAATTCAGCAACTGAGAACCTGAGTCTCCAGCTCTTTTTATTTTCAGATGCTTTCACAACTGGAATTAGTATTTCATCCTCTAACTTTTTGTCCTTCTCAACTTGAGAAAGAGATGAATCTTGTTGGATTAATTTAGCGAGAATGCAACTATTTTTGAGTGACTCTATCTTGACAGCATCTTGCTGGTCATCCAAAAGACTTTTGTAGCTTTCCAAGACTATGTCAATTGGGTATTTTATTGCTTCTGCAAATTCTCCTAGATTGATTGCAATAGCTCTTCTCACCATTGGAGTATCATCTCCAGAGAGGTCTTTAAATAACTTATCCCTCACTTCTGAGTTATAAGTTTTAGTATATGTTTTAGCTAGCAAGTAGCAAGAAGCGATGCGCATAGAGTAAAGATCACCTTTAGATAATCTCTCTACAATTTCATAAAATTCAGTCCTAGTACTTGGCTTTTCTAAGAGATCACAAACCTTTAGAAGAGATTTCTGAGCTTTATCTCTTACCATATTTTCGTCAGCTGCTCATATTAATTCCAAAGGTTTGCACAGTTCTATTCAAAAATCACTTCCAAGAAAATCTGTAAGATTTCCTAGCTCTTGAGCTAAGTGCATAAGTAGTTCAGAGTTACTATCTATCTTATCAATAAGCTCTGTCAACATAGGAATGAGTTCATCGACAGTCCTATGTTTCCCTAAAACTTGCACAATCGTGCCTAACTTTTCAATAGAATTTTGCTGTGCAAGAGGATCTTCATTATTAAGATCGTCAATAAGTAGAGCGACCCTTGAAATTTGATCAAGCTCTTCAAATTCTTCTGAGGCTTCGTCATCAAAGTCTCCATCAGTGTTTTTGTATTCTTCAGATTCCATTTCCCACAATATCTATTATTTCAATATACTATTTAAAAATAGGGGTTTTGGGGTTTTGGGGTTTTGGGGTTTTGGGG